TATCTCTCCACACAATAACTATGCCCCCTTTCCCCCAGGTATGGAGCAGGGGATTCTTCTCCCGGTGTCAGTGAACATTTCCATTTGATCTCTACATTCCATCCTCTCATGCATCCTCAGAACCTTCATGAAACCAATTATCCCTTTCTCACTCACAACTCTCAGCATCTCTCCTCATAGGCTCCTTCCGTGGGCATTTGACTTGCTCCATTTCTCTCACAGCTAGAAACACCATTGCTTGATCCTGCTGCATCCACTGCTCATCACACTTGCTTCACCCAAATCCACAAGGCAGAAACTGAGGGGTGTTCCTTGAATCCTCTCTATCTCTATTGCCACCACCCTAGTCAGAGCCTTATCATTTCAACTACTTCAATGACATTACCTCTCAATTTCACTTCTGCCTCCACTACAGTCAATTTTGCCTAACCAGGTCAAAATTCTCATACCATTGCTTAGTGAAGAAGGATCAAAATCCTCAGCATGGCGTGGGAAGCCCTGCATGGCTCTCCAGCCTTCCCTCAGTGCTACCCCCACCTATGCCCACCTTCTTCCCAACCCAGAACCTTTGCACATACTGTCTACCTGCCTCATGTCCTCTTCCCTCCCTCTTCCCATGGTTAATTTCTAATGCCATTAGAAGCTTCCCCTGACTCATCTGTGCTAGATCCAGTCCCAGTATTCAACCTTTCTTAGCACCTGATCTTTGGTCTCAATTATCAGTGCTTTGACTCTAAATTTCTGTTTTGTTCAGTTTCTGCCTACCATTTCCCTTGCATTGGAAGCTCTGAGAGCAGGGTCTATGTCTTTCTCACCATTGAATATCCATTAGATACAGCCATTGTTGGAACTTATGGATACCTTGTATTCAGTAATTTGTGATTGATTAATTAAATATAAAAATGAGCAAATACACTGCAATGCCCATCCTCTTGTGAGTCCTGTTTCTAATGTAGCCCAGACTCAATTCCATCCCTGGTTATATATGCCACAGCTCTCTCCTCTCCTTCATTTTTCTGTTGGACTCGTTTCTCCTTCCCCACTTCATCCTTATCAGATGCACATGTTTCAATTTCATCTGTTTTCAGATCCCTCAAATATTCTTGGGTTTGTACATCTCAGTGCTCCAAACCACATGTGTGTAATAACACACGTCAGTGTTTCCTGAGGTCTGAAGAAGGTTCTCAGAATGTGTAAAAGTTGAGCTCTCTTTCGTGTATCAAGGTCATTAAAAAACAAGAAAATCACTCTCCTGTTTGAAATGTCTTTAGTGTGGAAGAATATATTCAATCAGAGAGGCTAATGGCTGTTTTTCCTCTCTCAGTTCCAGTGTCCCGCCCTGTCCTCACCCTCAGGGATCCCAGCATCCGTCTTGTGGTGGGGGATGTGATGGAGCTTCACTGCGAGTCCCTGAGCGGCTCTCCTCCGATCCTGTACAAGTTTTATCATGAGGATGTCACCCTGGGGAGCACAATGTCCCCCTCTGGGGGAGGAGCCTCCTTCAACCTCTCCCTGATGGAGAAACATTCTGGAAACTACTCCTGTGAGGCTGAGAATGACCTGGAGATCCAGCACAGCGAATTGGTGACTGTCATCGTCACAGGTGAGCCTGCTGTGCCCACCAGCAGCACAAGCGAGACCTGCCTGTGCCTTCCCTTCCAACAGCACCAAATGAAGGTGCAGCGCTCCTCGGGCTCCTGTCTGGTTGCCTTCCCAGCCTCTTCCTGTCTGCAGAGCCCCTGTTTGAACATCTGAGGTCCCTCCTGAGGTAGAGTTTCAGGAAGCCCGACCTTCCCAACAGCACATTTCTCCTTCAGTGTGATTAAAGCTCTCTCTGAAAATACTGAGAAGACATTTTTTACAACACAGACCCCATCCTGACCTGATATTATGATACAAAGGAAATGCCCAAGAATTCTGAGGATAGGTTTCTCTGCTTCTCCCAAATATTAGACCCTTCCCTGCCTGGGTCCTTCTCTCCATGACTTCCAAGAAGTTTCTACTCTTGAGTTCACTTCATTCCCAGGAATAGAAATTTTATTCATATTCCATATTAAAATCCTATGCTAACATTAGCACAGCCTCTCAGCCTTTGGGTCCTTAAAGGAAGAGCACAGGTGACAGGGGCAGAGGAGGGGACAGCAGGATGACATGGGATTAAAAATAGCCCCCATCAATTAAATTTGTCTTCTCTAAGCTGTCCTTTCACCCCTTACCATTAAGTGTGATAACCAAAGGAAAACTGCTTCTTTTGAGCTTTTAATCTGTTTGGCGATGACCTTTAAAACCTTGTTTAGGGAGACCTAGGGTAAAGAAATAGTCTGCTTAGGGCTGTTAAGATAAATGTTCTAGACTTGGCTTTAAAGATTAACTTCCTATATGACCTTTACCAAGCATCTTTCCTATACTGACCTCAGTTTCCTCACCCGTAAAGTGGGAAATCCGGCTAGATGGAAATCGTGTCATAATTTCCCTGTCCTAGATGGAAATTGTGCCGTAATTTCCCATAATTTCCTGGGCGGGGAATATAGAACATACAGACACAAAGTTTCCTAGAAGGATTCATGCAAAAGGAGAAGAGGGTTGTCCCTACCTCCGGGATACGTCCCAGGAACGGGAGACTATGCTATGGTATACGAGCACCCCCTGAGTCAGGTAAAGCCAAACATAGGTTTACACTCTTGGTCTTTCTTGGCTGAATTGCTAGGTATCTTGAGGATTAGAGACAAAGTTAAATAAACAGGATAATTTGGGACTGCTAGCTCAGGATCCAGTCTCTACTCGAGGTAGCCAGTGCAGTGATCTCTAAGTCACCGGGAGGTGAGCTGATTTGAGGTGTGGTTTCTCCCATTCAGCCAGTTCATTTGTTCTCTGCTCTATGTTCTCTCCTGTCCCAGTAGCACCTGCCTCAGTCCTCTGAACTGGGACTGTTGATCATCCTTCTTCCCTTGTTCCTATGATTCCCTGGCACAAACACCTGTTATTCTGCTGCTATTATCAACCTAGCTAAAGAGTTTCCTGAACATCCTGGATAAATTGTGTCTGAGTTCCAGAGCTAGGACCCAAGTCATGGAGAACAGCAACCACCCAGAAGAGCAGACTGGGAGGCAGTTTCTCTTCTCTATGACGTGTGTCCTAGTTTCAAGATCCATATCATGAAATTTTATCTGAATGTTAAAAAATCCAGTATTACAAAAGGACCAACGTTGTAAAGGCCTACTTCTTTCTTTCTTTCTTTTTAAAATGTATTTGTTCTTTCTAGATATACATGGCAGTAGAGTGTATTTTGGCATATTATACATACATAGAATTAGTATAACTTAATCAGATAGGTCTGATTCATCCTACTGTCTTTTCTATTCCCATCTCGCCTCCCTTCCCTTCATTCCCCTTTGTCTGTCCAAGGAACTTCTAATCTTCCCCTTCCTTGTTGTGACTTAGCATCCATATATCAGAGAAAACATTCTGTCTTTTTTTTGGGGGGGGACCAGCTTATTTCACTTAGCATAATATTCTCCAGTTCCATCTATTTACCATATGCCATAGTTTCATTCTTCTTTATGACTGAGTAATATTTGATTGTGTATATATACCACTTGTTTTTTTAATCCATTCATCTGTTATAGGGAACCTAGGTTGGTTCCATAGCCTGGCTATTGTGAATTGAGCTGCTGTAAACATTGATGTGGCAGCATCACTATAGTATGCTGACTTTATTTTTATTTTTTATTTATTTTTTTATTGGTTGTTCAAAACATTACAAAGCTCTTCACATATCATATTTCATGCATTAGATTCAAGTTGGTTATGAACTCCCAATTTTACCCCAAATACAGATTGCATGCTGACTTTAAGTCCTTTATATAAACCGAAGAGTGGGATAACTGGGTCAAATAGTGGTTCCATCCCAAGTTTCCTAAGGAATCTTCATACTTTTTCCGGAGTGGTGGTACCAATTTGTAGTTCCAACAGCAATGTATAAGTGAACACAAAGGTCTCTTTCCAACTTCTCTTCTCCTAGATATAACTACCTGTTAACTGTTTCATGAGTATTTTCCATAAATATTCTATGAACATTGAGGCACAGAATATGTTTACCCAAGTAGGATCATATTACATATATAGTTACCCAACTTCCATTTTTCACTTAAAAATACACCTATGCATCTTAGCTAGGTCTTTCATTATTGCATTACTTGGTCTACCAGGTTATTTCTGATATTTAGCTATTATAGAAATCCTTATACAAACAATTTTGACCTACATTATGTCAGTATCCCTAAAGGAGATGGTCCTAGAAGTAGTTTTGCTGGGTCAAGCTTTCAAAGTGTTTTAAATTTGGTAGATATTTCCAAATTGTCAAAAAAGTGTCTTAAATTTGCTTTTTCACCTAGTCAGTAGCAAGGTGCCTGTTTACCTTGTAGGTATTATCCATCCACTTGGGCTGTGCCAATCGGGTGAGAAGGAAAAGGAATTGTATTCAGGTTGTTTTTACTTGCATACATGTAATGTATTCATAATGAAGATAAAAGTCTTTTTATATTTACTGACTATTTGAAGTTTCCATCACTTTCTACATTTTTCTATTGAATATTACTGTACATGAAAAGGTATTTATGGATCAAAGTCATTAACTATGGCTTGTTTTAATCCATTTTCAGAGACTGAGCTCTAACTTTTTCCGTTTGTTTGTAATACTTTTCTTTTTCTTACAAATATGTTAGAAGCAGAAACTGCCATGGACATTTTGTTTTGTCTCAGTTCCAGTGTCCCGCCCTGTGCTCACCCTCAGGGCTCCCAGGGCCCAGGCTGAGGTGGGGGACGTGGTGGAGCTTCACTGTGAGGCCCTGAGGGGCTCTCCCCCGATCCTGTACCAGTTTTATCATGAGGACGTCACCCTGGGGAATAGCTCGGCGCCCTCTGGGGGAGGAGCATCCTTCAACCTCTCCCTGACTGCAGAACATTCTGGAAACTACTCCTGCGAGGCCGACAATGGCCAGGGTGCCCAGCGCAGTGAGGCGGTGGCACTTTTCATCCCAGGTAAGTTTCTTATGCCCAGGGCACAGGTGTGAGCCAAAAATTTCCTCCAAGGACCCTCTGGTCATTCTCATGGGCTTTACCAAGAGGGTGCTTCCCAGGTACACTAAGCTGGTAGCTCTATAAACTGATATATTTCCAAATGTTTCTCCAGTGATGGCACTTATGGTGGGGGCAGGGACAAAGAGTATCATCAAATTCAGGGTTGATCTGCTGGCTCTTCTCTCACTGGCCACTGTCCATCCTAACCCTCAGCCTTGTCTCAATCATGGCAATGCACTGCCTCACAAAGCCAGGAGCCATGTCCTGTGCCACACCAACACCCGCTTGGCCTCAGGGATTCTGGGCCTCTAGGCTCGTCCTGTCTCCCAGGCCAGGCACCAGCTTCAGGGGTCAGAGCAGCTGAAGGCCACAAGCCTCTGTCTTGGGCTCACGCATGGGGTCTCCCTGTCAGGGCTAACGGAGAGCCGAAGTGGTCCTGTGGCCCCAGGAGTCACTGGGGGGTTGCTGGGGATGGTGGTCCTTGCTGCTGGCGCACTGCTCTTCTACCATTGGCTTTCGAGGAAAGCAGGTAAGAAGCTCCTGGCTCACCTCTGCTTGAGCCCATCCCTCCTCTGTCTTCCTTCAACCTCATGCCGACTGTGTGACCATACCCCAGGCTTTCAAAAGCTCCTCTCCTTCCACCCCACAATCCCTCTTCACCTTTCCCATTGGGTCCCCCAACGCCCTCTTTACCAAAACTGAAACTGCTGAAAGAGCCATGTTAGTGGAGCAAGCCTGGGTGACATGCAGCTTATCCAACCCCCCAAATTGCAACATGCCTCCCTGGGTATCTACAAAGACCCCTAAGGGATGGGAAGAGGAGGACATCAACTCTGAGAAACAGAAGTGAAAAACAGAAGCCAAATAGGAGTTGGTAACTTGTTGATTTTTTAAAAAATGCACAGTATGTTTGTAGATGATAAAGTCTATTTTCCTGCCTTGCAGTTATTAAACTGCCTGTCATTTTTAAAGATCACTCTTTAAAAACTCCAAGTTAAAGGCCTACAGTTTATGTAGACTCCTATTTCACATTAAAACCATACTCCTTTGGAGGCCAGGGTCAGTTGTTTAGTAGCTTGGGTCCCATATATCACCTCCCTTGGGAAGGAGTCAGACTTTATTGACAGCAATGCCTGGTGATTTCTATGTAAGTCTCCTGCGGCTGGCCCCCTAAGAAGGTCTTCTTTTCCTAAATCAAATACCTCTGTGCTTTCTTTCACAGGGGGACGGACTGCCTCTGACCCCTCCAGGTAAGACCTGGGCTGTGTTTCCATGTAGTTAATGAAATTCCCATGGGGTATACAATGGAATTGAACCTAATTATCACCAAGAGCCCAGTTTCTGCTGTATGATGCTGAGATGGGTGGTACCCGCTTCACGTCGCCACTTCTGTTGGGATACCTCAAGGCAATTCCCAGGACCTTCCCATCCACCACTTTAACTGTATAGGTCTTCTTTTCACATCAAGTATCCATTACTTTTTATTTCTCAGCTCACATCCTTATACAATCACACCTAGCTCTTGGCTTGTTTGAGTGACCACTATGACCCCTGAGTCCATCCATGTCTTGAGATGACTTAGCTTAATTAACCTGGAAAGCTCTGGACTTGGCCAACATAATCAAGACCTGTTGTGATGACAGCCAAAAAGATAGAGCCACATAACTTGGTCACCCAGTGAAGTCACTCTGCCAGCTGAAGAAGGGCCACTGTCTTGGATCCTTAAGGCTGACTTCAGTAGCCACACTGTGGCTCAACACTATCCCCGGGCAAGCCCCTGGTAGCAGTGGTAGCAGTATCTGAACCATCCAGAGTTCCTAAGACCTTTTCTGATTCTGATCTCTGTGAAAGTAGAGGTTCTGGAGCCTAGTTTGAATTTTGGTTTTTCCCCTTTCTGGTCACATGGTCATGGTCAATCACTTCACCTTGCAAAACCTCCATTATTTTTTTTATCTGTAGAATGGAGATAAAATAGAACTAACTTAATATTGCTCTAAGTACAGTGCTTGTTACATACCTGGTGGCCATAAAGTCTGGGAAAACATATATTATGAATTCCTCATGATTTGTAGTCATGAATATGATTCCAGGCTTGACTGCTCATTATGTGGTAAAAACTCACTGAGAGGGATCACCATAGCCACTGTGTCAGGCCCCTGGGAAACACCAGTGTTTCTGTGTCTCACAGGCATTCTTCAGACTCCAACCCCCAGGACCCCACCTACCACAATGTGCCAGGATGGATAGAGCTGCAGCCAGTGTACATGAATGGTGAGGACCAGGGACACGCCGTTTGGGCTGGGCCACAGGGTCGGTGTGGGAAAGAGCTGGGACCGGAGGTGAGGAGCGACAACCCACAGACCCGGAAGGTTTCGTCCTTTTGGACAATAAACAGGCTGGGGAGGAGGACAGGGCTCAGATAAGAGGCAAGCTCCTTCCTCTCCTCTGACACGTCAACTTCTCTCTAAGTAAATTCTAGAGGAGAAGACGTGGTTTACTCTGAAGTGTCGTGCCTCCAGAAGGAAAGCAGAAATTCAGGTAAGAGCAGAGGAAGCACCTGTTCTGGCCAACCTTCAACCTTGACAGCCTACTGCTCCATCTCCTCCTCCTCAGAAGGTCTGGGCCAGCCAGACACAGAGCCAGCTGCCCCCCAGCCTAGTTCACTCGGGCTTCTTAACTTGTGCCTACACTGTTTGGGGTTAACCCAAGCCCATCATATGGTACTGCTTTCTCTGTCCTCAACTGATGGCCTCAGTACAATCTAACTCAGTACAGAACCATCACCTTGGGTAGTCATTGAACCCCTCTGTAAAGCTGTTTGTTTATAAAATGGAGCAGGACTATTATTCTCTGCTGTCGTATTTTGGGCTTCTATACAGAATACTATAGACTGGTTGGCTTACAAAATAAGCATTTATTGCTCACAGTTCCCAACATGGTCAGGTTCCCCTCTTCCTCTTCCTGGTTTGCAAACAAGAGCTTTCTTGCTATATCCTCTCATGATAGAGAGATCATCTTTCTTGTGTCTCATTTTCTAAGGACGCCAATCCCATCATGGTAGATCTAAGATACATCTAAGATATATATATATGTGTGTGTGTATATACAAATGATCTAACATATATTAAGATATAGATTGATGATTGATAGATTGGTCGGTAGACAGATCAATCCCTTAGAACAGGGCTATATAGGGGTGTAAATAAAAATTGTGTATATATAGAAAGAGATCTTAGAGAGAGATACATATATATGATCTAAGATATATATTTATATCTAAGATCTCAGCTATATATTTCCTTAGAACTAGGATACAAATAAATATCTATAAGTATATATTTATCATATGTATAAATATCTTAGATATCCCTTAGAACTGTACCTGTAGCATAAATAGATATAGAAAGACATAACTGTAGTATACTTGCATATGATAGAGAGTTTGTTTTCTTTTTTTTCAATATTTATTTATTTATTTTTAGTTGTAGGTGGATACAGTATCTTTAATTCCTTTTTATGTGGTGCTGAGGATCTACCCCAGTGCCTCACGCGTGCTAGGAGAGCACTCTACCGCTGAGCCACAACCCCAGCCCCGAGTTTATTTTCTTTATAGCACTCAGAACTGTACCTGGCACACAGAAACTGCTCAACACATGATAGATGATAGAAATTATCCATCTAAAACCAGGTGCACAGTATGTGCCTGTGTCATATAGATGCATACATCTCTACAATAAGCCCAGAGGCAGATGACATGCTGATTCCCATCATATAGACTTGACAACTGAGGCAGGAGAGGTTGAGTGACTAGCCCCAGACCACCGGGGTGGCAAGGCAGACCCAGGGCTCCATCCCAGGTAGACAGGACTCGGAATCTCTCTTCTCTGCTTCAGACAATGCTCCATAATATGTGACATGACTCTAAGATCAAGGGACTACCAAGGTCAAAGGTGAAGCCCTTCTTTTGAGAGCTTCTGGAAGCTCAGAGTGGGGAACAAAGTGTGAGGTGGTGCTGAGGAGGGGGCTGGTCAGCGCTCCAAGGCTGAGGACAGAATGGGCAGTTGCTGGACAGGAGAGGTCCTAGGGCGGAAAGGACTGGCCTTATAGCACTGGGCACAGGGACAGCTCTGAGTGGGCCTCCACAGCTGAGCACTCCCCTTCTTTCCACAGCGGCCTCTGCACACAGCCTCAGCCATCAGACGGTGAGTCTCCTGACCTGTGTTGCCTCACCCGGGGGCCCAACAGCTCTGGCCCCCTCCTAAGTGTTCCTTCCTCCTAGGACTCCTCTGTCATCTACGCCAAGGTGAAGAAGGCATGCACCCCAGCCTCCGGGCCCCACCAGCTGGCCTCCCCAGCTCCTCACAGATGAGTCCACGCATCTCCCCAACTGCTGTCTCAGCCTCTGAATCCCAGTGTTCTCCGTGGGGAAGAAGGAGCATTGAAATGGGAAGATTGAAGCCACCCCAGGCCACATCCAGCAGCTTTTGTGTCAAATGCTCTCTGTCTGCACCGAGCCCAGAGCCCTGCTGGACTCCCACTTATTCCCTAGGTTGCAGCGTTGCCCTAGTGGCTCCTTTTTAATCTAGTGATAGGTTGTTCCCAACTCGGGGCCCATTACATCTCCAGGCTTCCTTAGTGAGTGTCAGCTCGGGTGGGTCCTGACAGTCCTCAATTCCAGCAGGGAGGTCCTGCCCGCGTGGGTACACTTCTCAATTGCTATCAACATCCTGGGAAGACTGCAGTAGCCTGCCAGATGGGAAGCACACGCCCCAAGGATGATGGACACCATATGGATATCCTTCTAGTGGGACTGCACTTTATGCTTTTCCACCTGTCTGAATCTCCAAGGTCACCTGACTTGAGACTAACTTCTCTCCTGCGCCTGTGCCAACATCTGTTCATCCAAGTGAGTGGAATTTGCACTCCGGTTCCCAGGTCTTCCCCAACCTTCCAGGATGCCCAAGGACACGGCTAGAATGCATATTGGAATATATGCAAATTACCATTTGACTGAATGAATGAAGAAGAAACTATGGGTAATCAAACTGGCATCTGATCCAACTTAGCATGCTCCTGAGAAAAATTCAGGAGGTACTTCTGTTTCCTCTGAGCAAGAAATAAAAGAGAAGCAGGAGGGGTGAGGAATTTGGCTTATCAAGAAAGAGGATTTCTCAGACTTTAATGTGCCTCCGGAATACCTGAGTATCTTACGAAATTGCAGATCCTGGCTCCGTGAGGCTGGGTGGAGCCTGGGATTCTCTGTAACAAACTTCCAGGTGACGCTGATGCCACAGGTCCAGAAACCGTACTGAGAGCTGAGGTGCAGGAGGCCTGGCTGCCCTCCATGTAACTCCTCGGGGGGGCTTGCACACAGATCACACTGTTCCTGAAGCTGTCCTTCAGCAAGAGCACCACCAGCTGCTGTGGCATACAGAAATTCCCTGCAGCATATTGGGTTTTATCAACCACCCTGGGTGGGGGAAGGTGGCTGCCACCATCTTTGTTTCCCCACACTTTCCCATGAAGAGTGAATGAACACCCTATGCATCAACATGCCCTCCAGACCCTGCCCCTAGTTGGGAGGTGCTCTTCTCCATTTCCTAGCTCAGCCCTTCTGCAATTCCTTCTCCTGAAAGGCCTTTCCTATCATCTCCATCTACTGTAATTCTGCCCTTTCCCTAAGCCCCACCAGTGTCCACCCCACCATCTCTCCTTGGGCACCTATGGCACTTTGACAGACTTGCAATTACCATTGTCAATGTGGGGAGACAACTGAAAGTTGGTTAGGACAACCCTAATTTTGCAGCAAGAAATTGAGAACCAGAGAATTGGGAGGAAACCAGATGATGATGATCACATAGCCAGGTAGTAGCAAAGCCCAAACTAAAGTAAACCCAGGGCTCCCGACCCCCAAGACCACATTCTTTCCTCCACATCTCTCTTCTGTTGCAGAAACATGGGGCTGGGGGGCATTTCTGGTTCTCCAACAACTGCGAGAGGCCATAAAAGCAAAGCCTGACTCCAGCTGATGTACACACAGAGCCCAGCATGGTGCCTGGCATACAGATGGCTTTCAGTAAATCATTGTCAAATTGAATGTTGGGAAGTCTCCCAATGAATGCACATCATCTCCACAAATTTATCCGTATCTTTACTGACTGACTCTTATTCCAGGGGAATGCAATTCATGTCCTCAGATCTCAGAATGCTTGGGGATACCAATAAAATAATTTCTGTCAGACCAACCTGTCAGTCTGGAGTGGACTTTTTAACTGTTTTTAACAAAACCAGCATTGCCTGCAGGCATCTGAAACTCAAGAAAAAAAAACTAATCAGATGAACCACAGAATTTTTTTCTCTCTCTCCTTACTCCTTCCCTCCCCCTCCCTTCCTTTTCCCCTTTCATCTCCCTTTTTTTAGCTGAAGCCACACCTCTGTCCCAGTCACCCCAGCCAGGAGACACACAGCTGTCTCTAGCTCTCTACACTGAATTGGTCACCCAGTCCAATCCATTCTGCTGTTTATCTTACATGTCTCATAAATCGTGTTCCCTCTGCCCCTGCCTTGGTACAGGCTCTTGTCAACAACCACGAGGACTATTGCAGTCACCTAAGACTGGTGTCCCTACTCCAGACTCTTCCACCCCCATTCATTCCCAGTAGGATCCAGCCTGTTGATCCCTCTGCTGGGATTCCCTTATTTTCCAGACAGCTCACTCTTTCCTGTGGGCACAAGGCTCTTTGCAGTTTAATTCCAACCCAAACTTCCAGCTTCATCTCCAATCCTTCCCCACCACCACAGGAACAGGCACCCCACGCTCCTGCCACACACACACACACACCTGATTTCAAGTGGCCATACCTTTCCAAATCTATTCCAGTAACTGTTCCCTCTTTGTCTTATCTGTGGAAGTCACTTGTCCTCCAAGACCTAATTCCCCTCTCAGGGAAGCTTCACTTTTTCCCTCTGGGTCTCTATAACTTTTGCATCTATGTTTCTTATCATCCTTACAAGAGAGAGAGACAGACAGACGGATGGGCACAGAGACAGACACAGAGAGAGAGAAACCCTCCCTGATTCTCACATCACCGCAACCCACAGTACAGGACTTGGTCAGTCAGATGCTCAGCTCTTAGTGGATAAATGTATAGAATGGGACTTTGCCTGTTTTCTCAGAATAACTCCCGTAGCCCCAAGGCTGAGGTCTGCAGTTGACAGTTACCCACCATGTTCTGAAGAGGAGCTTCTAGATACATTCCACGGGACAAACAAACGGCACACCCACCCTCGGCACTTCCAGATCCTCAGGCATCCTTATCAGTGATGTGTAGGGTTCATTAAGGAGATGGTGACCCAATGAGGGTGCTGGGCACCTGCCCTCCTGACCCAGCCAGGGAAGACAAGACTCGTGGATAACTGCTTAGAGAAATGAAGAGGGTCCTTCACCACTCAGCTCAGGAATCCACAGGCCCCTCCTAGCGTGCCCCTGAGCCCTGCCCACTGAGCTTTTAGGAGATCTTGACACGAGTGCCCTGGAGTTTAGGTGTATGAGGGAGAAGTATTTCTCACCACTCCTGATGTCCCCACCCTGCTGTGGGGAGGGAGCCCATTATACCATACCCCTGGTCCCTCTCTGCCTTACTCCCCCTATAAGGAACAGCTACTTAGCTCCCTGAAGAGTCTGGAAAGAGAGTGTGGGCATGTATGGACCGGCCAGTCTGTCTCCCCCTGTGTCATGGCCAAGGGCATCGCACAGGAGTTTGTGTTCTCCTCTGTCCTAAGTTCCAAAGGACCACTTTTGGCTGCAGATATATCTCAGTGGTAGAGTGCTTGCCTAGCATAAGTGAGGCCCTGGGTCAGATCCCTGGACACCCTCCCCATCCAAAAATAAAATGTTGAAAGGACACACCTCTACAGATAGGTGCCTGCAAGGCTTCAAATCTTAAGAAACAGGGGAGACTTCAGAAGAGCAAATGCACAGGAAGGATAGACGTTTCTGCTACAGCCATGGCGGATGCTTTATGCATCAGTGGTATTTACCTGGCGTAGACCACATGGGGTTTTTACCATGATTATTTGCAATAATTTATTTGGAACTGTCATCTGGAGCTGAATTTGATTTTGGCTACTGAAGGCCTCTAAGGCTCTGGCTGCACTGTTTTTTGGCAGGTCACTAAGACTTTGTCCTAGGGCTTTGGTGCTGAGAATGCACACACTGACCATTAAGCAATGCTGGGCAGGGGTGCTGGACTGCTCAGGCTGGAGTCACTGTAGCCACAGGTCGCACTAGTTCTGCTACTGTGTATTCAGGCTGCTGCATCTGCCAGGCAAGGAATCCCAGTTTCTCTTGGCATGTGGGAGCATGACCCAATGGCACTTCCCTCATGTATACCATGTGCCCCCACCTCCACTCTGGGCCACCTGCTGGAGGTTGATCTTGACAATGGGATAGTAGAGCCAGTGGATGGATTTCTCTCCTTTACCACCACCAAATGCACTGCTCAAAGATGGAAAAGCTTGATATGGAAACATCTTGAGACCAGGCAATCAACTTGTGGCATAGCTGTGACCAAGTTGGGAAGACACACCTTTAGGTGTGTTTTCCTTACTTCCTAGCCTCTCCCATTCTCTCATTCCTGCTCCCTGGGATTAGGCTCATCCATCATGTGGTTAACACATGAACTTCTGCTTCATGCTATTTTCTAGGGATCAGGAGCTAAAACAGCAGCTTCGAGCCACAGAGTTACAGCCAGGTGGCAGTCACATGGAGCCCAGCAGTCACAACCAGATATGCAGCCACAGAAAGTGGGAGCAGATGGAAAACGCCTTGGCAGAGCCAAGAGTCTTGAAAAGACGCCCACTTCTTAAACAGATGTTGCTTCCCTAAACAGTCAAGGCTGTTGCAAAGGTTCAACTATTTAAAAAAATTTTGTCATTAAAGTCTTTGACCTGGTGGAATTCAGAGCAGTATTTCCTGCTTTCAATGTAATACAGATGAGTTCCATGTGTGCCACATGGTGTTCAAGCTTTCTGGTGCAAGGGCCTGGCCTGGATCAGCAAGGCCAGGTCTGCCAACCCAAGCTAAGCTGAGCCTTTCCAAAGGAAGCCACATCATATCACAGGCCTGCGCCTTGTAGAGCACCAAGCAGAGACGATTGTCTTGATTGCAGAAATGTAGTTTGCCATAAAGGTGGAGCAGGAGAAATTTTTTCCAAAAGGGCAGGGTTCTTAGGTCTAAATGAAAACCCAGAGAGGACAGAGCAAGGGCAGTTCAAGACTAAAAACTTATCTGCTCACCATCTCTTCTGAAGGCCTTGTCACCAAGTAGCTCACACCCAATACAGTGCTGAGAAGACTTTTGCACCAGGCTCCAGAGAGGAAATTTAAAAATCCCTCATTAGGAAAGAAAGGTACCTCCTCTGTGGACTTCTACTCCCTGTCTCCAAAATGATAAGTGTACAGGTGCAAAACAAACTTGTTGGAAGATTTCTACCACTCGGGTTAAAGTTATGGGGCACAGACTCCAGATCAATGTCCTTCTAATCAGACTAACATTAAAAAAGATCTTTTCCATTCACCCTTCCTGATTCAAGTCTCTGGCAATGCCATGTATGAGACTCTGATGATGTAATTTTCTTGGGATCATTGTTTGAGAGGAAACTAATCCAAGACCTGCCCCTCGAAGATATCTCAAAACTGTCAATGTCATGAAAGATGGAAACAAAAAGGCACTGAGACTCGGGGAGCCTAAAGAGACCTGGCAACAAAATACAAAGCTTCACTGGATCTGCATCCAAGGGGGAAAAAGCCACTGAAGAAATTTTTTGCGACAATTAAGGAAAATTAAATATGGACTATGTAATATTGGTACTATTGAGTCAATAATCCCATATTACTTTAAAAAAACTTTTGATAATATTTTAAATACTTTCAAGTGGTCCCATAAAAATGTTTTTTTTTTAATTTTTAAAATTTGTTTTAATTAGTTACACATGAATACATTTATGCACTTTGATATATCATACATAGACGGGATATAATTTCTCATTTTTCTGAGTGTACATGTTACAGAATCATATTGGTCATGCAGTCACATATATCCATACAATAATAATGTCTGTTTCATTCTACTGTCTTTCCTATCTCCACATCCCCTCCCTCCCCTCCCATCACTTCCCTCTACCTAATTTAACGTAATGCTATTCTTCCCTAGTGCCTCCACCTTATTGTGAATTAGCATCCACATATTAGAGAAAACATTCAGACTTTGGTTTTGTGGGATTGGCTTGTTTCGCTTTATATGATATTCTCCAACTCCAACCATTTTCTGGAAAATGCCATAATTACCTAGGTATCCCTAAATAGATGAATGGATAAAAAATGTGGTATACATAAAAATTTTTAAAGTGTGTGTGTCTGTGTGTGTGTGTGTGTGTTGTGCATGAACATGCGTGTGCATAGGGGGGTGAGAGAAAGTAAGAAAAAGCAAATGTTACCCTATAAAAATGTCACTAATTGGTAAATACTGAGAGGGCATACTGGTAGCTATTCTTTCAATTTTGGAGAGATTTCAAATTTTCTAAAATAAAATATTAGATGTCTAAGAATGGAGAACATCAGACACTAGGCTTTGAATTAGGGGTCTCAGAGGTGCTGGTAGAACTTCACCCTCCCTGTCCACTGAGAGTGTGGAAAGAACACCCCACCCCTGGCCTGGGCAGTTAGGGGCTTCCAGGCCAAGACAGAACCAAACAAGACACTGAGGACAATAACTGGAGTTTTTTTGTGTGTTTATTTTATTTGAAATATTTTACTTTAATGTCCTTGGGAATTTAATCTTGGAAATGCAATTCTTCCCTGGGGAATTGCATGATGGAATGAGGTTTATTTCAGAGTACCTTGGTATTGTCGAGTTATGATTGGAGTACTCAATGGTTGGATCTCGTTGCAGAATCTCTGACAGACTGTTAGGAAATATTGGTGAAATATTTGGGAATGGATAACACAGCAAAGGGAAAACTCTGGCCATGAGTATGGGGTGACCTGGGTGGCCTGTCATGAGTTGGTTCTCTGTTTTAACCCATTTCAGAGTTCTCAAGGGACAAACTGTCCCCTGCCTGGCAGTGGTCTCAGGAGGCTCTCCATGACAGAGAAGCAGTACAGAGTCTTCCTGCCCACCACAGCCCTGGTAGGCCACAGGCTCACTGGGTAGTATGTACCAGTGGTCAAAAGAACCAAAAGGTGG